GAAAGAAAAATACCGGATGGTTTCACTCATAGCAGGAGTATAATGGACCAGGCGAGAAAATAACAAGAATAATGAACAGCCATATACCAAAGACATTTTGTGGGGATGGAGTGGGAAATGGGATCAAAAATGGGGGGGTGGGGGCGAGAAGTGCACGGGACTATGGTGATGGCACATGGGTGACTCAGTGATGGGAAACCCACGGGGATTACAATTGAGATGGAAAAAAAATGTACAAAATGATGTAAAAATAAACTATTATAAAAAAGTGCTAATAAACATTCTCACTTGTAAAAAAGAAAAAAAAACTCCAGAAAAACCACCAATTTCCAAAGGAAAGGCAATCCACTGATGCCAACATCAAACCACCCACAGATTACAATGACCTCCCCCCCAAAGTTACTAGATAAAAACTTCAAAGCTGGTCCTTGAGGCAAAAGTGCATCTGACATAAATATAGAAGGAAAACACTTCTCAGAAATTATTTTTCTAGAGAATCACATGAAAGTTTAAGAAATGGAAAACAGAATGTCTAAAATCAAAAACTGGCTGAGGTTCAGATATTGGAAAGATGGAGAATGTTCCTTCCATCCAGGCTGTCACAATGAGAGCAACAGGCACACTGCACGGAGCAGCAGAAGGGCAGGGAGGCGCGACAAGGTGCTGAACTGGCAGTGAGCTGACACTTTATCATCCGAACACTTGACATGGTAGAGGAAACAAGTGCCATGAGTGGGAAGCTATCATCTCGGATTTTGGGCTGAAGACTCAAAATATTGTTCCAGAATACTGGACGGTAACTGGGAGATCATGAGAAAAAAATGTGTTTTGATGTCTCAAAAAATTCCCAGATCTGAACAACAGGGAGACAAAGGAATTCTTAAAAATGAAACTTTTAAAGCCACAAGGGACAGTAAGAAAATAAAATGTAACATTTGTTAGAGTCCCAGAAAGGAGAAAATGTGCAGTGCTGAAGAAGTCATGGCCAAAAACTTCCCAAACCTGGTGCAATATAAAAATTTACAGAATCAAGAAGCTCAAGTTAAAACCTCACAGAGGATAAAATCAAAGAAACTCTGCATTCTGCCTGAGCGATCTTTTTCCTACAGGGTAAGTCATGTCATTTGTTGGTCCTGACAGACACCTTTCCCATCCAAATGGGGGACCCAGTTTCCCATTGAGCAGGCCGTTGCCTGCCCTACACCCATGACTTTGCAAAAGCAAATTCTATTGGTTCTGCTTCAAATGTCCTTCCTCTAGGTTTTCTGCCGCCTCATTCTTCAACTCACTCATCTTAATAGAAGAAGCATCTCAGATATCCCCAGGACCTTAATCTTCATAGCATGTCTATATTTGAAATATTTATATTGACTTGTTTACATGTTTACTGTATTTCTACTCCCCACTCTCACCCTAGCCCTTACCCCAACACTCAACCTTATTATTGGAAGTTACTCAGTTTTGTTCACTGTTGTATCCTCAGTTCCTGCTCCACTGCAGCTAACTCTGCAATGAGTTAACTGAATAAAGTCATGATTAAGCTGAATCTAAAATATATATAATAATTAAAAAGGTAAAAGGAGAAAGATAAGAATTCTAGAAAAAATTGGGTGTTTATAATAGCATCTGCTTCTCATCAAAGAGGAGTCAGATACAGATATGGGGAAGTAATACACGAGATAGTTATCTTCAAGGATATGTGATTAAAATCAGACAATACCAATTTGAACAGAATGTATAGAGCTAAAGGATTGTAGCGTAAGTGGAGTAGCAACTTAGAAAATCATTTGGCATTATTTCATAGATAAAACATTCACATTTTCTATATTCTTGGAGATTCTACTCTTTTATATATACAATCAAGGAAAACATTTATCGATGTATACTGAATATATGCACAAGTGCTCATATTAGCATTGTAGCCAAGAGCCAAATCCTTGATCCAATCCATCAAAGGAGGTGCATGAATAAAATGCTTCCATGAAAAAGAATAACAAACTCAATACTCAAAGATTATTACATACAACTTCATATCTTTTATACATCAAAACCAAACAAAAATATAGTGTTTCTAGGAATTACATTTAAAAAATGAAAATACACACATACACACACACACAATTTAAATCTGTAGTTATCTTGGTGGAAGGAGTGGGGTGGAATGGGAGATAAAGAAATTGTCAAAATTTGGTTGGAGTTGAGAAATAAGCTCATTGGTGTTTATTATGTTATCAAAAACAACAAATTCCTAGGGAATTGTGGATCACACCTGCATCCACAATAGAAGTATGGAATGAAGAAGAGTTATATAAATTAAAACTTTTTCTTAGGATGTGAATCCAGCAAAATTCTACAGCATGTTTATTTAGGTACATAAGCCATCAAAGATACATCAGAAACCACACTTTCCTCTCACCTCGATGAGCCAGGTTAAAAACAATATTGACACTTCTCTGTCTTATGAGGTTTTCCGCCAGGAGTGTGAAGTTATACATTTCTTGTGAGTCTTGAGTTACTTGCCAAGTACACCAATTTTTGTGTCCACAAAGTATCTTATTCCCAGAAATTCTTAAAACAAAACAAAACAATTTTAAGGTTTACATTTTTGCCAGTGTGGGTGTGTTTTCTGGTATCCCTTGGGGCCAAACTGAGTGTCACTGAAACTAAGCTCACAACACAAATTGCTGGTGAGAACTGCCCTTAATTTACTTGGGGAATTCTCAAAGGGTCAGAACTTAGGCTGATTCTGCTCACCAGATGGGACTATTTTCACATCAATATTCACCACTGTCTTCACTATCATACATTATCTTTAAACAAGACTTAGGTAGAAAATAGCGTACACTTGTGACTGCTTGAAGATTTTTTCCTGACTCTGGCAGGTTCTAAAATCCTTGCTTGAAGCTTCTACAACATCTAGATGTGACTTTTGGATGATGCACACACACCTTAAAAAAAGAAGAGTCTCTGGGTAATGTAACTAGTGCTCACTTACGATTCAAATAAAGTGTAGTGCTGGGAAGACATGTCAAACAAGGCGGTGTCGGTTCCAGCATCCCAGCTACAGTTCAAAGTCTTGAAATTCTGGGTTTCACAAGAAAAGTCCTTGGGCTCCTCAAGTACTTCTGTTCAAACAACAGGACAGGAGGAAAGGTCTAGTTAAGTCCCTTTACTGAAAACAAGTCGGCAGGAAGCTCTGTTTAGCCCACTCTGAACAATGAAAAGGTCACACAAATGAAAGGCAACACATTATCACAACTGCAGAAAGTCACATTCCAGGCTCTTCCTCACCTGGGTTCTTTCTCTCCCTTCCCTGTGCCTCTCTGGGTCTCATGGAGGAACAGCTAGGAATCAGCACTGTCCTCTTTCGCTGGACACAATGTGTGGCGTCAGAGGGGCCCGGTATGGCTGGGTCTTTTGGCTGCTGCAGTTGACAGAGCCGGGAGCACTGTTTGGCACACCAAGGAGCCAGGCAGAATTTGAGACCCTGCTCAACACAGCTGCAGGAGCAGAGAGTACGAGCAATGTGGCAGAAGCTTAAGTCCCAGAGTCACTGCCACTCCTAGGAGCACCCACAGATGAACTTACAGTAGTGTCCAGGAGACTGAAGCCAACCTTTGGCAGGAAGAAGGAACCACAGAGAGTGCCCTATGGCAAGGAAGGGAGGCAGGAGGCCACTGGGCATGTGCATACCAACCGATGTCAAGAGCGAATGTCAAGTGCACCCACTGTTGCTGGTGCACTTCTGGATGGCTGTACTCAGTTGGGCACAGTCATGGTCTTATTTGCTAAACTCCTACTGTGTGAGGCTGTTGTGCTGGGGCCAGGCCTGCCATCCTCCCTAAGCCTCACAACCTCCATTACCGGGTCTACTCCACAGAAGAGGAAACTGACTCAGAGACGGGGACACTTGGCTAAGACACATGGCAGGATGCAGGATTCAAGAAGATTCTAAGACCGGTGGGCTTCAGGGCACAGCCTGAGCTGGCTCTCTGGGCCTCTGGCTGAAGCTCCTCCCTCCCTCCCTCTGGAACTCGTGCTAATCCTTGCGAGTTGAAGCAAATCAGAAAATTTTCTCAGGGGCCTAGGTCATGACCTGAACTTTTGCCTCATAAATACTCTTGGTTCCTAGGAATAAAGTTGTCAAGAAGTTCAAGACAACAACAGGAAATCCTGCAAACATTGTTCCAGACTCTCTTTCCAGTCTAATAGAGGTCTTGGCAAACAAGCAACTAGAGATTGTGAAAATGTTTACTTGTCATCTGGTACAGGAAATTCCACCTGTTCCACAGGAAATGGGAGAGAGGCACAGAGGACGAGTCCCCTACTTACTTGCAACATAGAGAACGATGCCATCCAAATCATCGTGGTCCCCCTTACAAAAGAAATTTGTCCCTGTTTTTCTAATGAAAGGAACATGATTCAGGGTGAACACAGTTACATCCGGATCAAGTTGTTCTCCGTGTACCCAAGTGCCCTCCAAATAACACGAGATGTTCTCTTGGTGGCCCCTAGAAATGTAGCAAATGGTGACATTGGAGCCCTCTTCCACTATCCTGTTTTTAGGGAAAATCTCCAGCTTACGACGGCCAGGGGAATTCTGTCCTGCAAGAGCAAAACACACAGTTCAGTTAGAATTCTACTCCAAACTCAAAGCTGCCCCTTCCTGTCTCTCAACAGATAACTTCAGCTTTTTCTACCTCCTGGGAAAAACAAAAGCTTAAGTTTACAGGAAATCTATCTACACAGGACTTGGGTGCATCAGAACAATCCTAGCTCTTACTGCACCATCGTCCCATTGTTATACTAATGCGCCTGCTGTTCTTACCAGCAAAAAAGCACCATCACTAAGGCAGCTCTGAGTCCCATGTTAACGCTCTCCTTATTACAAAGGCAGACTTGTTTCCTTTGATCCTAGGCATGGGGGTTGGGGAAGGCTGTGCAATTGCTTATGTGTGATATCTCCTGTCATCCTTACCCCACAGTAGTGGGACAGCCACAGCTGAGCCCAAGTGGTTCAATTCAGCAAATGACAGTGATGTTCATACCCACTAGGTCATGACCCCTGAGTCAGTCTCTTCATAGCCACATATCTCCTCATGATCTCCAATCTGTCCTTCAGATCACACCTCTTCCCACCTCAGGAATTCCAGTCACTCTCTCCTGGGTAGCCAATTTCTCAAGTCTCTCTTAATTTTTAGCAACATACCGTCTTTCTCAGGCAGCCTCCTGCCCCCTCCCCTTGCTCCTCCACTGTCGGCCACTGAAGAAGCTACCTCGACCTTGAGTGTTTTCATCATTCCAGTCAGTCAAACTGTAACTGAGCCCAGCAACCCCCAGAGTACACCAAAAATGTGTATTTTTCTCTTTGAGGTCTGCATTCACTGATGCAGTTTACTCACAGATGACCCCATCTGAACAAGCAGAAGTCACCATCCTGGAGCTGAGCTCCCACCCAGCTGGAGCCTGGAGGAGGAAGGCTACCCAACTTGAGCACTACACCAAAGAAGTTCAAAATCCCTGTTATCTGAGAAGTTTTTCACACATGGACTGTTGCCAGGCCCACTTGTCTCTGCCCTCAGCCTACTCCTCAGCCACTAAAGTTTAACGCCTTTGTTCTTGGCCTCAGACCACAAAACCTATATAACTGTTTCCTTAACCAGGGAGGCAGATTTGAGTTGATCTCTGTCTACTTGTCAACTGAATGGATTTTCTCAAAATCAGGTGCACGGTAATGGCCGCTACCTACCGGGCAGTGAGTCCATTGCTCATTTCAAGTCCACCTCAGACTTGCTGCCACTCCAGGTCACTAAAAAGTCACCTCTGATGTCACTAGGTACGGTAGCTATGCATGGCATTTTATTTAAGGTATTGGGATGATTTCACTGTACAACCATGGTTGAGAATCAGCACTTCGGGGTTAAGAATAATCAGGCTATGAATTCTTGAGTTTGAAGGGATACAGCTTTGAGAATTCTAGCCCATTTTATAATCCGCTTTCATTCTATCTTTTTTGGTTTTGTTTTTTGTTTTTGTTTTTTTTTTTCTTTTTTCTGTATGTCCCTCTTCCAGCAATGGTAAGAGCCAGACTGAGTTGAAATTCCTGCTGCACCACTAAGTGACTCGGTAACTGTGTATGGGTTCTTCCTTTGATCTGTGCTCAGTTTCCTCATCTGTGAGGTGGAGACAGGCATAATATATACTCCACAAGTCTGAAGTGAGGATAAATTAATGTGTATTGCTTAAAATAGCGACAAGAATGTAGATTTGATTTTATGCATTAATAAATATGCATAAACATTTAACAACCGAATAGCCCTACTGGCAGGAATTATGGATAACATAAAAGGCTATATGGTTGAGGCCCTCCCTGGTGGCGCAGCGGGTTAAAGCACAGCACTAAGAAGCTTAAGCCACTTCCCCATGAGTTCGATGCCCCGGAGGTGACCACATGGCGTGGCAGACCTCTCCTGACCCGCCTGCTGCTCCCCTCAGCAGTATACTTCGTCGATCTGCCTGTTCTGCTCCCCACTGTGTCCCTGGTGAATTCTCTTACCCTCCGCATCTCTGGCCTGTACCCCAGTTCCGTATGAATAAATAAAAATAAAAAATACATCTTAAAAAAAAAAAGGCTATATGGTTGAAAGCAGCAAATGCTTTTGCTTTAGAATTCACCCTAAATATATTATTTTAAAGATTTATTTATGCTTACAGAACTGGGGTACAGGCCAGAGGTTTTGGTGGGTGAGAGGATTCACCAGAGATGGAGTGGGAGCAGAACAGGCAGATCTACTGAAATACACTGCTGAGGGGAGCAGTGGGTAGGTCAGGAGAGGTCTGCCACGCCATGTGGGTCAGCTCCCTGGCGAGGGATCGAATTCATGCTGCAGTGGCTTCAGAGAGCTTCCTAATGCGGTGCTTTAACTCATTACACCACCAGAGAGAGCCCTCACCCTAAATTTTAATTATGAAAAAAGTAAATTATTAAAGTTAAGGCACATTTAAACCTAAATAGTCACAGTTTCACTACTCAAAAGAAGCACTCTTTCATTTTTTCTGTATTTCCCTCCCTTTTCCTTACTTTGGTGACTGACAAACTATGGTCCAGGGGAAAATTCCAGTCACTGCTTGTTTTTGTAAATAAAGTTTTGTTAAAGTACAAGCATTGTTCATGTACATATTGCCTATCATACAATTCAGTGGCAAAGCTGAATAGTCAGGCAAAGACCACAGGGTCTGCAAAGTCTAAATTTTGTCCTATCTTGCTTTTGACAGAAAAAGCTTCCTACTCTCAGTTCTAGATCCACATACTTTTTGTGTCATAAGAACAAAAATATATGTAATTTAGGTCCTGCTTTGTTCACCTGGCAGTCTACAAGAAACACACTTCACACGTTTGGAAACTGAATACAAAATTGCCTGAATTTGCATAAATATCTCAGTGTTTGAATTCAGAGGCAAAGCTCAGCTGTCTGTCTCAGGATGGCCAAGTTCACATCCAGGTCTTTAGTTTCACTAAGAGCCAAAGGAAAACAATATCTGTGTTTACTCAGCGTTCTTCCAGGGGGATTTCCACCATTTACTGATACCAAAAAATAGGAAACACTTTCCCTTTCCTTATCATTTCATTTCTTACCGGCTACTTTCTTCCAGGAGCTCCACTTGCCCCAGAGCGTCTGTCTGGGGACCGTGGTATTGTCTACCCCCACGTTGCTGCTCCTTATTCTCACAAAGTGTGCTGCACACGGCAAGGGGAGCTCAGATTCCCAGCTCCAATGCAGAACTTGATTCTGCTTCACAGTACAGGTGTAATTCTCCTAGAAACAAAGAGAAAAATGTGGAAGCATAGTCATGTTCTCCAGGAAGCTGGTCTGGCTTGACTTATTCTAAAGGAGATCACAGCAGGTCCACAAGTTATGCACGAGCAACCTCCTCGAACCCAGCCAACTTCTGTTTCGACGTCTCAGCGAGGAAACAGTTATCACTCCTGTGTTTTGGAAACTCGGTTCCCAACCCCTTTGGATTTCAGGGGGTCTATGGAGCACGTGAGAGAAAACTGAAGCCACACAGGTTGCAGGGGAAGAGTAGCTGGTGACAAAGAAGCTGCTAAGAAAATTCTTAAAGGCTAAAAAATTACTTTTAAAAAGTAAGCAGGATTGGTGAGCTTTTTTTGACTTCAGCTCTAGTCAGGATCAGGTTAGCTTGACCAAAGAGTGTAGAAAGGGCAGTCCTGCGTGGCACCAGTGGTTTTCACTGCCTCCTAGAAGTCGATACAAGGTATTCCACATCTCACCATGATTTTTTTTTTTTTTTTTTATCTCTTAACTTTTCAGATATTTTGGCCAGCTGGGTCCACCTGGGAACCCCACAGTTATTAGAACTATGAGTCCCAAAGATGGCAATCCCATAGAAATGTCTTAGAGAATTCTCTGGAAATCTTGCCCCAGTGGAACTGCAAACTGGTGCTTGGCACAGCTGCTGTCTTAATTTTTCTAAGACACTGATATTTTTATCCTCTGATTCAACAGGTGCCAAAACTCCTATACATACTGCACTGTCACTCAAGGCCAACTATAGGTTGCCTCCACCCTACCCGTTCTATGAGAGACTCTGCTCTCTGGATACACTTCAGGAAGCGCTTAGAGCATGGTGCACCTCAGCGTTTGATAACAACACTCTGAGTTTAGCGTCCCTACTGTCCTTCCTCACAGGAATTGACCCCATCCTACAAGCCCGGGCCGTAACACAGCCCCTTCATAACACCTGTCTCGCTTTCCTCCGGGCTCCTTCCACCTCTACACCTGCTGTCTGCTGCACGTGGCTGCTGGCACTTCCTTGGTGGCTGTGCCCCTGGTTTGCACACAGCCCCCCCAAGCAGGGGCTGTGCTTCATCTGTCTTCAAGTTCCCACAGCTCCAGGCATTGGGGCTGCTGGTGTGGGCCTCCAGGATACCGGCCCTGTGGCCTCACAGCTGGGAATCTGGGACAAAAACTTGTACTTTGTGGGGAAAAGAGTTTGTGTCTATGTTTCTGAGAAGGTGGGGATGGGGCTAAATACAGGTCTCACATAAACTGGAGCTGGCAGGTGCTGAAGTCCCCCTCCGTGATGCCTTCCCCTTGCCAGGTGGTTGAGCTTCATTGCACAGAGCCCAGGGCCCAGGAATGAAGCCCTGGAGTGAGGAGAACAACCCAGCCACCCAGCAGAACCTAGTCCTGCAGGTCCTTTTCGCTCTATAAAGAACTCCAATTTTTAAAGCATTTATATATATACTTTAAAGATTTATTTATGCATACAGCCAGAGGTGTGGGGGGAGAGGATTCACCAGAGACAGTAGGGTGCAGAACAGGCAGATTGATGAAGTACACTGCTGAGGGGAGCAGCGGGCAGGTGGTCTGCTGCTCCATGTGGGTCACCTGCCTGGCAGGCAATCTAATTCGTTGGCTATGGAGTGTTTATATTCTACTGCAGTTTATTCTATATTACTAGATTATAAAAATTTTAAACTACAAGTTCTGAGGGCCTGCCCCATGTGGTTTCCATTATTTATCTGCACAATCTCATTTTGGCTAAACACTGCGAGCCAGAATGGAAAAAAAGAATCGTGTCAACACTGGTGACCTTACTATGCGGTATCAGGTCAACAAGCCACAGACTGGATTTCACATCCTGCCTCACTCTCCAATGTAGCCACTCCTGCCATCTGCTCTCCAGGCCCTCCCCTCACGGACCCTTCTTTCTGGTCACACTTGCCTTCTCCAGTGCCCCCAAGCACGCTTCAAGGTGCAATCAAAATGCTGGGTCTGACCCCATCACTCTCCTTCTTACCACTCTCAGGATAAAGAATGAAATCTTCACGTAGCCCCTGGCCCGGCATGGACAGCCAGGCCCCACCGGCACCCATGTGCTCAGGGCCTTTAGGCCGAGAAGCTCATTCTTACTCAAGTCTCAGCTCACACCAGCCGGATCTCCCTGGAGCATCCCCTCCACCCTCCATGCCAAAGGGGCTTCTAATCCTCTCTTATTTTGGCATCAGCAGTCTTTCTGGAAAAGGTTGGGCCTAACTCTGACCCCACGTCACCCAGACAGCCAGCTGCCCTGCCTCTCCCACACTTAGAATCCTTCCTTTCTGGGCTTTTCTCACCCTCGCTCAGCCCGGAGAGACCCAGACTATGACAAAGCCTGGCCCAGAGCCGAGACTGCTGACTGATTCCATCAGTTTATGAATATGCATGGACTCTTTCTTTCCAGACATTATTTGTGTGGATTCTGTCTACCCTCAATTTCTGCTCTGTGGTCTCTATACGAGATAAAACTTTCCTTGAATGCACCCATTCAGTGATTTTGTCCCAATGTCATGAATTGTGTTTGGGCTGTTTTCATTAACTGAAGTGGCATGTTTCATTTGGCCCAGGGCAGATCTGAGTAAGTCCCCAGAAACTGGCACACAGATATGCACCAAAGTCCAACTGAGGTCACAGATTCCTCCCCTCAGCATGTGCTATTTCCAGACTGACTCCTGCTCGAGGCCACTTCAAGCTGGAGCTGCTCTCACTGCTTTGGCACTAATGGACTCATGCAGCCAGGGGCCAAGAGGTCAGGGAGAAGCCAGCCAAGGGGCGAGTATGGCGTGGCCACAGGGAGGCAGCTCAGGGGCCCAGGGCCCAGCTACAAGTAACTCAAGATGCTTTCCCTTGAGTCTGTTTGGAAACAGACTGACTGTACCCATAAATGGACAGTCAGAAGTACGTTTAATTTTAGACATTGATCTCAAAGATAAAAACGGATATGGAGAGAGCTAGCGTCTCTAAAATGAGTGGTGTGGACCCCTGCACCTGTGTCTGTGGCCTGAAAAGAGTGGCCCTCCCTGGAGTCACCCAGGTCCTCAGCAATGACACAGTCCTGTCTCCCTCCCTGCAGCTTCAGACAAGACTGAAAAATAAGAACAGCAGAGTCTCATTTTCCTTCAATGACAGAACATTCTACTATCCTTCAACATTCCATGATAATGAATGACAAGATGGATGTGGAGATTCTTGATGCTCCCCAGGCCATAAGTGGAAGAAAGCATCAGGTGAAACAGACAGAACTATTACCAGAACCAAGACAAGCAAAAAATCTACCTTAAATACTTCAAAGGCAAAGAGACAATGAAATTAGGACTTCTGATTTAATTAGCTGTAGAAAAAGCGACGTGTGAGGCAACAAGAAAGACCATAGAAGTTTCTCTTCCCCTGGATAGTCCACGCAGAACCTCTGTACTGGCTTGAACATTCAAAGCCGGGCCCATTCTTTCCTGCACTTCAGCACAGGTAAGCAAAGAAAGTGACAGGAAGCTACGCTGACAAACAGAAGGTCAAACAATGACCTCTTAGTTCCGTAAATCTATATTGAACAGGTTAAAAGAAGGAAGAGGAAGACGACGACTGATCTTCATAGATGTCTGAATCCAGTATTTACAAGGAGACACAGCACTCCTCCTGGGACAGAGAAGAGGTAGGAAAGTATGTATTTTTTTAAATACATTCCATTCAATTTACCAAACAAAAGTTGTCACATGAATTGCCATGGGGCCTCTTCTGTAAAAACACAGGAATGTAATTGCTTAGGAAGATCATTTGGTCTCCCTATAAAATGTTTTCAAATTGAGATTTTTGAATGTTGTAAAACACAGATTAGAGCATCAGAAAATAATTTTTTAAATATTGAGTCAAAGAATACTTACCACCCAGATGGTATTGGATGTATTAATTCTACTGATCTGTATCTGAAAAACCATTTTTAATTGATAGTGAGTGAGGTTGTGGATACTCCATTGTATATGCAAACGTTGATGTGAATAACTGACAGAAATATTCAGTGATTCAGGATTCAAGAGTAAAGGTTCAGACAAGACTGAAAGATCAAAAACAAGATATGAAATACCATTTAGCAGGAACATGAATAAGTAATCACAGATAATTAAATTGTTCAGTATCAACATTGTTTAGTTTTAGAGAACATTATTCACATGTGCACCTTGGAATCAGATACCTTGAAAACTGGAATGAAATTTAGAAATTACTTGGCAGATAAAGAAACTAAATCTCAGTGATTGAAATGATTTGCTTAATAAATTAACACGTTAATAAATTAATGAGCAGTTAAGACAAAAGGATACTTCACAGCACAGCTCACTGTTTTAGACACTTACAGCAAGGCTAAAAAAAAGAATCAGGACTTTTTGCTTTAAATTCCAAATTTTTGGAGATCAAATTAGAAAGTTTTATTGTGAAAAGTATTTGGTAGCTTATTAAATAGCTTTAAAGTTGGAGCATTCCCCATCTCTAGACATCATTGCTTTTCTCTCCATGCACTGAACTTAAAAACATTTCTAGCAAGATTTCTCTGGATTCTTAGGAAGGAAATGACCAGTATCAAGCCCTTAGTGCAGAGTGCATGTGAAAGGTTCTGGACACAGGATTCCTGTGAAGTAACAGGCAGAGCACATGAGGAGAGCGCTCATTGGTGTGACAGGGTCTGCAAAGGAATAGAGATTCAAACAGGAAACAGCTTTGCTGGGATCACAGAGGTAGGAAACAGGCCCAGGGCTAGGGTAGGCCCTGATGGAGTATAGTCACAGCTAGTTCTTAGAGAAAAACAAGTCTCCAGTTTCACTTAAGGGGAAGAAACACAGCACAATCCTTTGGAATGTGGACTTGTGGACTCACTCAACTGGCTTTAATTATTGTTTGAGGGGATCTTAGTGAATGGTTTTGAAAAGACAGAGACCCTGCTGATGAAATCAACTGGTATCTGATACTCTGGGTATCAGAGGGGCCATCTGCAAAGCATTCAGTTTTTGAATTCTATTAAGACTTCCCTTCTGATCAAAAACCCTCTGGCACTTAGAGGTGAGAGAATAACTCCTATCATCAACAAAAAGTGGAAACAATCTCCAGGACTGAAAAAATGTTCCCAAACTGCCATTCTAATGTGCGCTTTCCTCATCAGGAGGTAAAAATAGCAGAAACAATAACAGAGAGCATGTACTTTTTTATCAGGTGCAATGCCAGGTGCATTACCCACACTGGGTCCTATGATATTTGCTACGAAAGTGTGAGATCGTAACTTTTTATTGGTAAGGAAACTAAATGTCTTGCATAAGGCTAGATGGGATTTAAATCCAGATGTCTCTAATCCCAAAACATGTGCTTCCCTTGATTGTACTGTACCCTACCAATAAGGCAGGAGCATCTTGTCCAACCAAAGGAAGCAGGGAACAGAATGTTTTCAAACAATGTCCTGCAAGTGCAGGTCAGTGAACAGGGAGGAGTTCTGGAGGGAACCAGAGGCTCATGAAGTTCTGCAGGATGAGGTCCACTCACAAGGTCCCTAATGAACATGTGCTTGCTGGGAAATCTAGGTCAAGGTGAGGCTTAGTAAAAGGAATCAAGATCAGAAAAGGTAAGGCTAGGTAGCCACAGGTGTGAGAGAATGAACAGCTCAGGTGAGCCACTAACCAACTCTAAGCGATTTCCAAAGCCAAAAGAACTGCTCAACTTTACCCCAAAGCAGCCCATCACCTCACTTTCTCTCCATGTTGTTTTTTCTTTGCGGTTCTTTCTGCCTCTTACCTTGGTTCTGGTAAATTCTCAATGGCAACAATGTGAAAATGAATGCTGTCTGAAATGCAGCAAAGAGAGCCATAGGATCTGGTTTCCTGAAAAAGATACATCACAAAGAAGAGAAATTTTGTTAAACTTTACTTGTGAGCAGGTTTCATGGGACTGATTTGGTGGAGAAGGCAAGGAAGGCTGCCTTTCTTTGCTTCTCCCTGTATCTGCACCTCTTCTTGTGTAACCTGGAATTCCCCTCCTGAATTAGAAGGGCTTAATTTGTCTTTCCATGTGGCTCACTTGGTCACGAGTGAGGCAGTGGTTGTGTGCTGCTTTGAGCCTGTGCTTTGTGAGACCTGTGTAGCTCTATATGCACTTTTGTGTTTCTGCCCTTGACACAGAAAGAATATTTCTGGGCTGCCCTTCTGGACTCCTGAGGAGAATGAGCAACAGATGATGCAAAGCTGAGTCACTACAGCTGTTCCAGCTGGGACCAGCCCAGGTTGGCTGAGATCACCTACAAACAGATGCAGATCCCAAAGGTAGGAGTCACCTAACAGTTGTGTGTCACGGAGGTTATGGGGCAACGGGTCACAATTTCTTCAAACTATGGAAGTATGGAAGAGAGAAGTAAGTCAGAAAAAAAAAAAAGTTAAATACAAAAGGCAGACTCTGATTGGAAAGAGATAAAACATCAGCCTCAAAGGGGTTAAATTTTAATCAATTACCAGTGGATAAGTCATTGCCATTCTTCCCTGTCTCCTTCAATACAATTTCACCTAGGTGATGAATGGAAACTAGACTTTTGCTGGTGAATATAATGTATTATATATGAATGTTGATTTATGGGGTATATACCTGAAACCTATACAATCTTATAAACCAACATTAATTTAAAAAGTCATCTAGGAAAAATAAGAACGTTCTAACCATGAGATAGTTTTTCATTATTCAAACTAATTTCCCATTCTCCTTCCATCAGAGGGAGAAGTATACAAAAATTAATAATATAGTATATCCCAGGCTATATTACAAAACCATAGTATTTCCAACAGCATGGTATTGGAATAAAATAGACACACAAATGGAACAGATTTGAGAGCCAGAAATAAAGATACAACTTTATGGACAATTAATCTATGAAAAAAAGAGCCAACAAATGGTGCTGAGGAAAACAGCTAGACATGTGCAAAAGAATGAATAATAAAAATTAACTCAAAATGGAGTAAAGACTTGAACATAAGACCTGAAATCATAAAATATATAGAAGAAAAGAAAGGCAAATCACTCTTAGACATTGGATAATCTTACAACCTGAGGAGGTTAAGTTCTTAATTTAATATAAACATGTTAGTGAGGGGAAGTATTGATATTTCACGTTTCAGCTTCTAAGTTGGACTCACCACAGAGAGAAACAATGAAATAATTCAGACAATCTTCTTGTGGATTTCATCAAAAGCTAGACACTCCCAGAACCACAGCATCAATTTTCAACATACATTGCTCACTCCTCTCTATTTTTTAAAATTTTATTTTTCAAATAAATGAGAACAACAGTGAAGACATAATGTTCTAAGCAGAAATTATTTTCACTTAAATTTGTTTTCACTCTGGCTTTGATATACAGTGTTAATAGGAACCTGTTTGAAATTACAAGCAGAGATTTTAGAGAGGTATAAATGATCCATTCACCAAAGATAGACATAGCAGAATGCAGTGCTTAGAGGAATATGAGGAAAACCTGTCATTTGCAGACACTTGCATATGTTTGCAATTAGACTCTTCTGCAAGTGGTCTAGAGCACCCCAGAGCAATTTAAGGATATGATCTCCCCTTATCAAAGTCAAGCCTGACACTCACTGTGAAATCCAAATGCCATCCCAGTCCCACTGTACAGGTACAAGGTCTCACTGTGCACACATTCTCAGTCCTGAGAATGCAAGGTGCCACATGGAAGGAACTCTCAGCTCATAAACTTAAAAACAAATGATTCAGGGGATAATATGCTTGTTACTTGTGTTCTCTAAAGGACAGGATGACTAGAATGCTCTTCAAATTTTAGAGTGCTAATAAATAAAGCATTTTACATGTTACAAAATTGAAGAAGTTGAGGGGAAGAAAATTTTAAAACTAATATATTTAGAAGCCAACTACAACCAAAGATAACCAGAAATTAAAGGATAAATGTTGCATGAAACCAAACTGAATGAAGGACAAAAGTGTTTGGTTTGGATCTTGAGGAGTCTTTGAGAATCACCTGGATGGTCTGTTCCACCATCTCCTCAGCATCAGCTGGAGCATCTGAGTTTACCTTTGGCAGCTATTGAATTACTGCCTTGATTTTCATATCAGTCCTCCTGTGCATTTTACACAGACTAGGCTCATGCAATAGTGACACTGTGGTCATGAATGAGTGGTCACTTGCAGTGGTGACTGGAAAGCTACCGTCCACCTCGGCACTACCGACACAAGGGCTGCAAGTCCTAGCTGTTGCCTGCACACCTCCTGCAAAGGCAATAGAGTTCATCAGAACTTGCAGCGTCAGTGGGTGGCAGTATATCTGACCTATTGGGACAGGCCACATGAACTGTATGTATTTGCTGACGACACAGAGGGCGACAGTGGAGGAAGAACAAAGAAACCCACGGCTCCGAGCCTGCTGTGTCCCAGGTGATGGACAGCACAACTCCTGTGATCCCTTCACCTTGCTCTGTGACTAGTTTTCCTACCCTGAGCCTGGTAGCTGCTTCCTCATGGAACCCTGACCAACACCATGAAAAGCTTGGGGGTGAGGGAGCAAACTGTAAAGGTCTTGGGGTGGGAGTGTGCAATTTCCAGGGGCAAAGGGACTCAGGATATATGAAGCAATAGAACTCAGAAAGGAAAAAAGATACTCCTCTGTCTCATCCACACTCCGTGGTCCTTTCCTCAGGAATGTCCTTGATTTCTCATTATTTTTCAGATCTTGGTCATCCCAACCAGGCCATGGGTTTCTTGAGCACAGGTCTGGCTCTTACTCCCATGTTTTTCACAGTCTCAGAACATAGCTGCTATCCACTAAATACCTGTTCAATGAACATAAATTCATACCAATTTTCTCTTGTTTTCCAGTTTTTGTTTTCATCGAAATAGGTTCCTTTTATGATTTCTAGTGTTTCTGTGGTCAAATATTGCCTAATTCATTGACATTTCTTCAGTGGGTGAGAAAAGGGAGGAAAGCAAAGGAAACCCACTCACTTATCTTGTACAACTTCTCATTCAAATCTCATCTTCTTGCAAAACGCAGATGCCTGTGGGTATCCCTCAGTATGAGCATTATCACACGTATAGTAAAATACAACTCTGGAAAAGGGGTAAGTCTGCTCTTCTTCACCCACACTTCTTGCTCCATCAAGACTGAAGTGTTTATTCCTGGGAAGCTTCTCTGTAAACAATCGCTGTAAGAAGCAGCAAGCTCAGTCACTGCTCCCCAAGAATGGGGTATATTGCCAAATCCTTCAAATTGGCGGAATGCCCTATGAGATCATATATAAGCACTGTCTTAAAGAAAAGGAGTTGTTTATCCAGGACGTATGCTGGGGTGTGCACCAGTAAAACTGTACCCTGTGGCGGTACAGAGTTGCATGCCACATCTCGGAGGTTCCGCACATTTCACATATCTTTATTGTATATATATTTTTTAATATTTATTTATTTATTCATACAGAACTGGGGTACAGGCCAGAGATGTGAAGGGTGAGAGGATTCACTAGAGACAGAGTGGGGAGCAGAACAGGCAGATCAACGAAGTACACTGCTGAGGGGAGCAGCGGGCGGGCCAGGAGAGGTCTGCCACGCTATGTGGTCACCTCCGGGGCAGGCAGTGATCGAACTCATGCGGAAGTGGCTTAAGCTTCTTAGTGCAGTGCTTTAACCCGCTGCGCCACCAGGGAGGGCCCTATTGCATATTTTTAAACATGATTTATCCTTCCGAGGTCCTCTGATTGATAACCTACGAAGTTTCACTCCAACTCCACTATCCAGTCCTCCTCAAGAGGATACTGGAGTGAGAAGTTGTACATTTCTTCCTACTGAGAAAAAGGCCTGTGGAAAGGTGACCGCACTTCCCACCCTCCTCTTAAACATACTCAGCTAAATATTTCTATGTCTTCTAAGGTGAATCCTGATTTATGGTGCCGAATTGGCTCATGGGTAACCTATTTTCTTTTTTTAACAATGTTCAAGACTCCTGGAATTTGTGACACCAGCTAAGAGTAAGGTTCTGTATTTAAATAGTAAGTAAAGCCAAAGAAAAGAAAGCAAAACCTGGATCCAAAGAGATTTCTGGACTTGGGAATATGAAGAAATTTAATGTGTGCTAGAGGTGATATTTCAAGTCGTTTGAGAAAAGATACATTATTCCCAAAAATGACACTGGAACAATAGACTGGACATTTGTGGAGAAAGGAAACTGGAAAGGTCAAGTACATTAGCTGTAAGATTGGTTACAGTTAAATTTCTACTCTGGTCCTTAATGATGTGAACATGCTTAAATTATTCACTTAACCCCTTTAAATTTCAATTTCCCTCTCTGTAAAATGAGGCTAAATGCCCCACCCATAGGATTGGCATGAGAATGAGATTATGAGAACATATCCAGAGTAAATCCAATTAACAATTTAATCATTATTGCTATTGCTTAATTTCTACTTCAAATACACTTCAAGTGCATAAAGCTATAAATGTAAAAAACAAAGACATTACAAGCACTAGAATAAAAGATAGGTGAAGATTTATATCATTTATATGAGTATATGAAACTCAGAAGCAACAGAGATAAAGACAGCTGCATGGATTAACTGAACATTTTTTTTTTTTTTATCATTTAGTGCTTTAGTTGGTTCACCAACAAACTGGGAACAATAGTTTCCATAATTATGGAAAAGGGTTACTATCTCTACTGTGTAGAGTTCTCAGAAAATAATAAAAGGCAAGCAACTGTAGAAAAATGGACAGATAACATCAATGTGTCATTTGTAAAAAAATATGGAAATTTGAATAGCCAGTGGTGTATACAGTAAACCTGAACACTATTGCTTATAATTAAAAGCAAATTTAAACAGTA